CGAAAGCATCTGTCCACGCTGATGCATCACGCCCAACAAGCACGTTGAACTCACCCAGCAGAAATAGTCGGTCGCTCCACGGCACCGACCGTATCACAGAGGATAGCTCAGTGTAGAACAGATCGCGCGTTTCATCCGGATAACACCTGGTCATGCAGTAGGTGCTTTTAAAAGTAGCAACCTCACCTCGCCCGAGTCGTAGGCGGACAGTCGTCAGTCGCGCTGCTGACGTTGGTTCACGCACCATCCGGCCATTTAGGCGATCGGATATTGCAAATCCGACGCCCTGTTCACGTCGTGCTGTGGCGGCTTTGCCCACCCAGTAAAATGTGTAGCCAGCACATGCTTCATGCAACTTACCTTTCATCGCTAGCCGGGTTTCGCTGAGCGCCGCAATGTCGATGTTGTAGCGCGCCAACTCCAACTCGACCGGTGAGGTTCGTCGCACCGGGTGCTCGCTGGAGATCCTGTCCAGTAGTGTGCGCACGTTCCAGCACCCCATGATGAGTGCTTTGGGTGCAGGCATGCGATTGCATTGGTGGGCAATCGCACGCGAGGTTGTGGTTGTGCGTCGGATGGTTGCTTGAGGGACTCCATCCGGGGCCTTTGGCTCCTACGTTGTTGGCGGCATCCGGTTTCGGATTTGCCTGTTGCGGTGGCCAGTCGCAAGTCTCCTGCGCCTACAGTGGGACCATGGATGGCTTGCGCTGCACCACCACACCTCCAACCACACACCCCATATCCAGTGTAACCCCGTAGGAATAAGACCGGGATGCATGCGGATAGGAGCCAAGTTTCATCAACGGAGCTGGTTCACACTCCTTCACAGACAAACACAAGCGTGCTATATTTGGGAATCAAGTGCACACAATGCGGTGACTGGACCGTAGTCCGCTCCACACTGAGTGCATGGAACCACTCTTCGAGTCTAGCACGACCACAAGGACCGTGCACCCAGACCCCTCCAGCAACGACCAACTGTCTCCTGGAGCCAGTATGGACGAGGTAGTGGGTAATAGACAGGTAGGCACCTTGTCAACCTGCACATCAAGCGCAGCCACGCTTGGAATGTCAAACAACAGTCAATCACTTGAAATGCCGATACCGAATAAAGTAACCGCATATGACGACATAAATACTCGTTCAATGAGCATATAGAAGAAATTGGTTATAAGTGAATCCGTGATAAGCACAAAGTGTCCGAAGGTCAGTTAAAAAATACCACGCGATAAAATTACGCAAGTTTGCCACAATTTACGTGAGCGACGTGTGCAAGTGTGGAAGTAATCAAGTACGCAGAACAAACCAAAGGACGTGTAATGAATTTTATCCACTTTAAAAAGACCTAGTTTAAGTGTAAGTTGGTGTGGCCCAACTTCGGTGAAAATGCATCATGAATGAAACATCTGCCTCAGCAAGGGGCTCCTACTACCTGCATAAATACATACATACCTACGTCCGACTGAAGTACGTGAACGCCTCTTTGCTCTACGTACTATCTTAAACTGTAATTCTGTCTTTGTGTAGACTAAGCTGCGCATCCACGTCTTCAGCAAAAGTCTGTCCGCCTTTTTCACTTTTGACAGAGACTGGCATTTGCATAGATCAACTCGCAGTAAATGAAACCGACATAATACGAAGATTGCCCATGGATATACCGACTTAAATACCATCATTTGCCCTAGGCACCCATCCATAACTACCCTGGTAGCACAAACGTAACAGTAAACGTAGCAAACCGGACATAACCTGGACAGATGTCCAGTTCAGGTATTAATGGATTACTAGCAGCCAAGTGCATTTAGTTTGACATTTGTTAATAAATTAATGGTTGGTATGCATTATATTTGTTATTATTTGACCATAACCCCAGTTGTTTAAATGCATCGGCAGGTCGTTTTATTTGGCCAATTTCAGGTTCGTAACCTTGGTCGCTGACACCGCTTGGTTTTGCGCTATTGTGTAGCTCCCTTGAAATTGCGTTTCCGCAGGCGCACCTACCAGGTTTTCCTGTTATACATTGTGTAATACATATGTGTTCCTTTTCAACATGTCACGTAGACAAAGTTATCAGTTGACTGCACAGTTCCCGTCTCGCAGCACCATTTACCGTGCAGCAAAAACAATGGCATCAGGATTCAGCTATGAAGAAGTGTTTCTGTTGTCAGCATTTAAACGACAGAAGGGTAAGCGAATCGTTAACATATATTAAATAGCATTGCTTACACAGTACAGCCATCTACTAACGTTACAAACTGCTGTGAAGATGGCGGGGACCCCGATGAAGTGGTCCATAACTTGAGAAAATTGATTGCGAAATATCAGGTACCAGCATCTGGAGGTGTTGCAGGAACTGAAGGCCATCATATGTAACACGTCACAAATGCATTGCAATGCACTTAGCTTTATTTTTAGAGGAGTTGTGTCTCATGCGATCAGAACTGGTCGGCCATCGCCGCATGTCCAAAGCAATGTTGCAGATGCTGCAACTACATTCCCAAAGTGTTGCACCGGCACTTTCTCTGCCATTCATTTCTCTCAATGAGCTTAAGAGATATGATGAACGGCTGAAGGACCCAGATTTCAAAAATAGATTAGTAAGTTCGTCTTATTATTCCACGACTTTGAAGTCAACCATTTTTTGTACTGTGCACGGTGCTAACGTGTAAATCGTCGTCCGGGGTACCATGGAGCGGCTAAGGATAAGATCAGTTGCCGCGGAGATGAATTACTCCGGCGCAGGAGGTTCGTTTGCATTCAGGCGAACAAATATGAACGGCCCTGTACAAGGTAGGTTGACATACAGTAATCCATAAAGACTATCAAGGCATGATTCGGCAACGCATGGGTGATGCAGCCTCCGATGCTGACATTACGTGCCACATCAAAACGTGGTTGCATTCCGCACGGCACAAGAGACCGCCTGTTGAGCGAAACAAAGTATGCAGTGCGAATGAGGTGAGTCTTCTGCTTCCTTATGCACAACTTTAGCCTCCTACCTTGACACTCGCTGAAGCGGATTAACCATATGGACAAAGCCGTTTTCTGATACTAACGATCTTTGTACTAAACCCCTTCATGTACATATAGCATTCTTATACCCCGGTTTTCATTTTCTGTCGCCTTGTAATGTTCTCAGGGGCGCGGTAAGATCCATTTCGTTACCTGACCAACAGCTTGAAGCGCCGCCTAGGTGAGTTCCCACGTCCAGCAACTACTGCAACGGGTACTGGGTGAACGTTAGCTCCGAACCGTCCATATATTAGTTAGCTGCTAAGTGCGTAGCAGCGTGATGTTCGTATTCGCATAACCAGGGTAGGCAATGAAGGGATCTGGACCTACCGGATTTTCACGCATTGTGGTGATTTTCTATTTATCAACGCCAGCGTCAGTTTCATTGGGCCTCCGTAAACTGGACAAAATCCCTTTTTAGCGGTCTCAAGGTGTAGTTCCTGTCCAGTTTTGCCTAATGCTCTCATAGGAACGGTTAGGATGCTAAACTGGACAGGAGCTGGACATGTGCTATCAGGATACTGTCTTCATTGAATGTGTGGTAGGCAACATTTCTGACATCCCTGAGAAGCCCCCAAGCAACTACCTGCTGTCTCCTTTCGCATCAAAGCCTAGAGCACGCTGCGACCTACGCCGGAACAGTCAATTACCATGCAGTGCCAAAGAATGTAACCACCACAGTTAACCTGATGCGTGGCATCCGCAAGAAGCACGTCCCCGTATTTCGCCACTACGGAAGTCATCGATGCATGAACGAAAAATAGGAATCGGACCTGCGAACCATCCCTTTGTACACGCACAGCGCCATTCTTACTCAACATTTCCGCACTGGCGTTTGCACCGTTCCCCGAAGAAATCCCGCCTAAGCCATGGTGGATAATAAATCAATCCTTTCGATTCAAGCGTTTGTTATAGCTTTCAAACACAGCCCCGCACTTCTCCGGTAGTACGGAAGGATTGCATCAAATCAACTCCTGCCGCTCCGCCTGAGGAGCCAGGCGCCGATTACTAAAGTATAAACTTGGATTCCCCAAGTGAAAATTATGATAATGCACCAAACAACCCTAGCCTATATCATAGTATTTGTCCTTCGCCCTGATGGCTATGCGCGCTTTACAACCGATGCTGACATACCTATGCAACCTGAAGTACATATAAAACAACGTTGGTACTTACCGACTGCCACCAGTTCCTTTCCTGTTGCAATGAAAACAAGGATGTTGTACCCAGTTTTACCGCATCCCTTGGAATAGCTCTTGACCTGACCCTTTCGTATACGACACAGCTGGCAAAAAGTCATATTTGTAAAAACTTGTTGCTGTCTGAACTTGAAAGCGCCTCAACTCACCCTCGATTTCATCAACTGCCTTTTAACATGGTCGAAAAGTAGCACGGAACACAACCGTATAATACACATCCATTGCATCCAATACAGCGGAACCGAAAAAACGCCTGCGCACTAAAACAAACACGCATCCACAAGTCGTAAAATAATGTAGCACTGCTTTCAGTCCCTTAAATCAATGTACATTTAGTAAATCCTCAGCAAGCCGTAACAACGTATTTTATAACATTCATCCGCTCAGCTGTTTTCGATTAACCGACACCCCCCCCCTTTCAACGCACCGTATTCACATCCCCGTCATACGAGAACATAGAGGTCTCTTAAGCGATCAGCACCGTCGGACATTGACCAATGTAACGCAGTGAAACAAAGCAACCTTATGAGCCTTAGTAAAAGCGCCAAAACTGCACTAAGTAAATCATTAGAAAGCAGTTCACTAAACTTGTCCGCTTAAACACAGGATTAAGTGCGCTAGGAATGGACCTAGAGACAAGTGACAAATAGTGGAACTGCGATGCACAAAAACAAGTAACAAACATACTGATCTAACCTGAATGAACATCTTTCATCACGAGAAGACTTGATACTATAAATTCGATGTTTAAAGCTTATGTACCAGGCTTGTTTTTATAGACCAAAATTCGTTGTTCTGTACGCTAACGGGAGACGATGATTGAAATTTTTCATCTTAGTGAAGATAAAACATTCCGTTGTGCCATATTATCCAGAAGCTTAGTTTTTACCTCCCTGTGTACCTTGGTGTTATTTGTGGCTCCGGCAGCCATTGTGTTTAGCGTACCAACCGGTATGTTTTCTTGTTTCGAACTTACATTGCCCAACAGAAAGCTGGTCTACACTTCTAATGAGATGGGCCAAACTCTATAATTGCTCTGTTCTGGAATCTCAGAGTTTCATACTTTTAGTTACAAACACGTTTTCGCGAAATACATCTAGTTTTGACGTTTGGACGCCATCCTCCGACTTGCCGAGCAGTATTTCTGGATCTGCTGAGACTCACCTGAGAGAAAAGTTCAACTTCTATTCGCTATTTGATGCTGGTTCAACCTATGCAACAGAATTAGCTATAGCGTTTCGTTTAAAGATCCGTTCAACTGAAGTTTTTGGTGTCCATTTGCAGATCCCAGTCCATTGCATTTTGGTGGTAAGGATGTGTCTTTTTCTGCTTATGCATTTTCTAAGGGCAAACGAGTTGTAGGTCAACGGGTACTTGTCTATGCGTAATAAACGACCGCAACAAATTTTGCTAAAATATCCTCAAACATGTTTAATCAAAAAATCAAATGCGTGGGTTAAGCATAAAATGAAATTCCAGTCGTCGTCCCAACCTGAATGCGTTGTTGCTTGGGTCCTGGGTATGATTGCCCAGCTGTCTGAGCCAAAGCAGAACGTGCAGAACATGTGGTGCTCAACCGATCAAAGCTCACACGCCCTGCACCAACAGACCAGCTGCTCCGGCCACGTGCAAGAAGACAAGGAAGAGGGAACATTTTTAGGTATAAAAGGAGTGCGTAATACAAAAGCTGAAGGGGCATTTAGTGCAAGCAATTAAGAAGGAACGGAACTCAGGCGCCATCAAACGAAAAGTAAGCAGAAAATGGGTAGATGCTGAGCCATAGGCATAGAGCTTCATGGTTACGTTTGAACTCTGCCACTGGGAGACAGTACGACGTCTTCGGGTAGCGCAGGCTGAGTCTATACCTGACAAACTAGTGTCAGCCCGCATCTGATCAGGTCCTAATTGGAACAACTTCAAAGGATGCCTAGGAAGAGTTGATAATTGAACAGAATGTAAAAGCCAGGATAGGTCTGGGCCCATCCGCCCTATTAATATACGATAAGCGAAAACCAAATCACTAGGAAAACGGCGATAGTTTAACACATTGTCAGGGTAGGACAGATGCCGCAGTCTTATGAACATTATGTAACCACTCCTCTAGACTTACTCTACCGCCATTCTGTCCCTAGTCAGGCAATTCTGGACGCAGTACCCCAGATGGAGTCTAGGAAAAACTGCAAACAATTTAATAAACAATTCATCCTTCCGCAACCCAAATAATCTATGGATCATTCAAATGATTTGGAATCCATTGCTAGCCGCTTGCTTCCAGTTCTTGCTGCATTTGTAGTCCGTACCTAACGTGATACGTAAGTCTACTTGTTGGGACCCAAGAGGTAATTCGTTCCCACCAAGCATTTATCGCGTCGTCGGACTATTTGATCCTACGCGCAGAATTGAACACACGTCACTCAAAGCGTCTGTCAAGAGCGTGTTGCAAATCTTGGGAGCAACTAGAGTAGCGCACCGTGCACCAGGACTTGAAGTCGTCCGCGAACATAATGGTACGCACCTCCAGCACTTCTGGAAGTCCGTTAACAGACATAGCACAAGCAGAGGACCAAGACTGATCCTTGTTGGTCGTCGCTCAGCACAGCTAGTTGTAGTAAAAACCAATTCCTAGTTGACGGCACATTTCTCTCCATTGTAGCAATACTGATAGCCATTTAAGCGCGTGCCCAGTGACGCCGCAGGAAAGCATCCTAAGGGGAGGGCGAGTTGGATAGGGGAGCCAACCGCTTTGCTGTGTTCAATGGATAGTACGTCCACTGCTTGACCCTGGTCAACAGACTCCGCCCAGCTCACTTGAACAATCAGCAAACTAATCAGATTTGAATGCGCTTTTCGAAAACCATGTTGAACTTAGTTGCGGATGCCAGCCGCACTGAAATAGTTCTCGAAGTTATCTCACGTTTTTATAGCAAATTAACCAGAACGCTGCTTAAAACAATGGGCCTATAATTTACAGGAATTTGCCTGTGACCCACTTTTAAGAGGGGGCAGACCACTGCTCCCTTCCAGTTAGTAGGTAACCCGCAGCTGGCTATAAACTTTTCGAACAAGCGCGTTAGGGGCTCACAAACCTCATTTGTTAGTTTGTACGGCAATTTTGCAAGAATGAAATCGATACCAGCGGTTTTGATGGGATTTAGCTTCAGCAGCAGTGAAAGTACTTAGACCTCTGATACGGTGATATCAGTCAATAAAAGGACAACCGGAACTTCCTCATCCAACTCGATAGTTTCTGAAGGGGACTTTAGGACAAACGTCCTCGCATACTGTTTGCCTGGAATACAGTCCTCGTCCTAATCAGTGTGCATGGCTATTACATTAGGTCCGTGCAAGACGGATCTGTGCATAAGCACGCCTACGTCTTTTGACACAAGGTGAAAACCGCTCCGGGTTGCTTGGAACTTTTATTGTCAACTCTGTTTCATAACGATGGCGAGCGTCCCTTAAATACTGCTTACTTGCGTTCCGTGTTGTTCGATAATACCGTAAAGCAACCTCTGATTGAGTAGGCAACCAAATTCACAGGTGTTTACGTTTGCCAGGTCTTGGAAGTGAACGTACATAAAAGTTTGCTTTAGGGTTGCAGATTTGCTGGCTTCAAAAGACAGTAAAAGGTCTTGTTGCTAATATGAACTGTGAATCATTTAATTATAAACCTACTAAGTGTTGCACAGAGGACTGTACAGCAACTAACGCAGGAAATATGGGCTGGTTCTAAACAGAGATCCACTCTGGAATTAAACTTTTTCTGTTTTTAGTCCTGTGAAACGATAACAGCTAGCACAACCCAAGGAACCGAGCTCCAAGCTGATTGGGATCATCTGCCCAAGGTGAATAATGCCCGACTACAAAAGCCAGTGCTTCGTTGCTATTAGCAGAGTTTTATCTTTTGTGTATCAAACCTGTTTTGTTTTTGAGTCCATATAATAATTCTGTAAAGCATTGTATGCCACCGCGCAGTAAAAGGTATCTGTGTTAATAACTAAGCATGTTGTTAAAGTGTCTAATTACTGGGCGTTTATTTGGGTGAACTAATCCATACTATTAAAACCCAACTGACAGCTGACAAGAAATTTTGGAATCCAAATTTCATCAAGACCAACGAATACCAAGGCATCCCGCTTTTTACAAATCCGCTACTTACGCTCCGGCTTCAAAACATAGGTAAACGTCAAGTTTTGCAACCTTAGTTCACAAGCCGAGTTAGATACAATGCGCAGAAACTCAGTAAGGTGCTAGCCACTGATTTCGAAAGTCCTAGTTAGCAGCCGGCATTTGACGGCGAATCCGCAACAAAGCGTGTGACACTAACAGTACGCCGGTACGCAGTACCAGCACTTCACTGCCGTGAAACAAACACCGGTTGAACGCAGTCAAGGGATTCTGTGATGGTCGGCATGCGTCTGCGTACGCTCAAACTCAGGCCGTTAGGTTACAAGACAAGCTCGGTACGTTTAAGCTACTAGCCGACATCCGCAAAAGAAAGCTTTGCAAGAACACTAACATCAAACAGGCCGCAAAAGATGTATATCTACGAAATAAGATTTCTACTGTGAACCGCCTTATTATCTCTGAGCTACCTATTCACCGCGCGGGTCTCAGTCTCTGTGGATCCCAAGAAGAGAAGCCGGCCAGTATTGGTTGGCTATGCACACGCTCATATTCTGCGTAAGTGATATGAGTTTGTTCAGCATTGCACAATGTGATGTTAGCTATGCGCTATGGATTGTTGATTGTTGTGGATCGTAGTATTGCTTAAATCCCCGAACGTCAATGGCTAGAGAAGTCATGGCAGATTTGCGGAACCTGGCTACGTGCACAAAGTGGTTTCCAGTTTTTGAACCCAGTCAACCATCTCGGACGCATACACTCACTTTACGTCTAGGGTGGTGGTAAACTGTTGGCAACTCTCTTGAATAACCTATGTAGACGCATCTAGATGAGGCACTAATCAATTGGTGCGGTAGGAAATAGGAACTGCTATATTAACTGAAATACTTAAGGTGACTTTAAATCTGCTCACTGGCTTAGACATTTTGCGAGTTTCTCGAACACTGGGGTGGCCCATCACAATTTTGGTCTTTTTGATCAGGTGTGGTGCAAAATGTGAACTTTGAAGTATATCTACGTTGGCTTTGATTCAATATAGAGTATGACACGAAGGCCACACTCTGATCAGTTAACTTTCTCTCTTTACACACTCCCAAAAGCACAGTCAAAAATGACGAAGTAATAGCTGCACTTTAAAGTTAGATGGCTTCGTTTTTATTGTTTCAAGTGTACAAAAGTCGGTATCCATTTAGATTACGCAAGGTAAATGTATGAAAATGATACTAAAATGAAAGGTGTGCTCGTCTGCAAATCACAAATTAGTGCACAGGATCGCAGGTATATAAGGATGTCAGCAGAGCACCAGTATTTGCACCACTACTTGGTTACAGCAGCTGCGTCTGAACTCATGCTGGACAAGGGGCACGAAGGCTAAACCAGGTGGTTGCAAGCCGGAAGTTTTCTAACAATACACTGATAACTCGCGGCGTGAAACCTTAGAATTGTTAGTAATTCATTATTGAGACACAATAGCTACTATATGCTTTTTATTCCCAGCTAATGTGCATCAAGAATTATGGTGGTGAACCAGTCAAAGGAGTTCACAGCGCAGCGAATATGCGCTAAGACCGCTTGCGCTGAAACTAAAAACTGTTACACTTGTAAGCGGCTAGGTTTATAGACACTACAATAGTATTAAAGCGAGAAGCAGGATCGGTAGCACGCTTTAGAACCAATACGCGAATATAAGGCCAACCTCCGATGAGTGGAGAGCACCAAAAGTAACGCTAGGAAAAATTTATTAAGTGGGGCGAAACGCTATCTAGTGCTAAAAATAAGGTACCGGAAGATAGCTAGCTAGGGGAAAGGTGTGGTCGCGTGCGCCGAGAGCAAAGGTGGCCGCGGAGCCGATGAGCGTCCCGCCGTTCGAAGGCGGATGCTATGTTGACTCAAACAAACGTGAGCAACGTTCAAACAGGCGAGCGGCTAATTTGCTATGTACATCGAGAAAATATGAGTTTGTGCTTTTGTAATATTTTACGCAGCATGCGGCAGCCAAACCGGGGAATCTCCAGGTCACTACAGTATAATTGTGTCCCAAAATAAATATGATAACACTAATCTACCAAGCTACCTGAAGATACTTGGCCAAGCCGGAAGCAACCTGGGGTGAATAAAGTTAAGTTCGAACCTGAGACGTACAAAATATGTGCATACTATCCGAACAATTGTAAATACATAAA